AAGAAGAAGAAGAAGAAGAAGAAGAAGAAGAAGAAGAAGAAGAAGAAGAAGAAAATGATAACACATATCATTTCTATAGCTCCAATTCCCGTACAATACATCTCTAAGCGCTAAACATACTTTCATCCTAACACATAATACATGTACATGTATATGAACGCCCTTTTATAGCCGCTAACACATAAGGTAGACATCCACACTGTTACAGCACAATCGATCACGTTTTGTATTTAAGGGTACTAGATTTAAATATATCCGATAAGCTTTGTGTGCTGTAAGTACAACTACAATAATTTATTTATAATCAAGCAAACTAGTCATGTATGTATGCATGACATAAATACAAACTCACACAAAGCATTAGCCACTTACTTCGTCAGCAGTGGCGTTAACTCAAAAGTATTTACAATATAATAATATATGTCATGACGTGGTGGAATCAGGCGCTTGTCAATTTTGGGGCAAGTGGAGTTTTTGAAGCCATCTTAAAACGTGTTAATTTTCCTTGTTTTCAAGGAAGAAAAAACATCTATCTTGAAAAGAAGTCGAGATATTCGCTATTGAAAGAGGTGGGAGTTGCCCGATTTCAGAGGTAAAATTAGCGATAAAATGACTGCCAAAGTCTTCATAGCTCGAGAGTCATTGGAAACGGAAAATCTTTAATCAACGTTTTTAAAAGTAAAATTCGCAAATAAATGTGTTTCTAAATGACATAAAAGGCGTTGAGTTTAAAAAACAAAAATTCTATAAAAATTGCCAAACCGGTAGGAAAATATCTTTCTCTTCAGTTTCGTTGCTTTGATGAGTTCCTGATTTCACCACGGTGCCTCACATAATAGCTTTTGCCTGCAGAAAAGTTATGCCTTTTAACCAGTACCTTTATCCTTTCAGTGGTGAGCACTCACATTCTGTCGGAGACGCACGTGTCTAGGAACTCCAGTGTGCTCACAAGTGTGGTCCTGGACTATACCTACCCTGGGAGCAAGACTGTCAAGTGAGAGAGAATGATCGAGGGAGACAGAGGAGGAGAGGGGGACTATGTGAACAGAGAATCGGAAGGGGATTCAGAGGGATTGAGAAAGAGAAAGATAGAGAAATCAAGAGAGAAAGAGAGAGAGAAAACGAAAGAGTGTGTGTGTGTGTGTGTGTGTGTGTGTGTGTGTGTG